TCTTGCAAATCATCAGCAGTAAGCGGATCTCGTGTAGAGGTAACGATGCGAACACTGTTTATACCAATGACCTTGATGGAAATGAGGAAGTATCCATTGATTTTACCAGTTTCTCATAACTGACGATTTATTCCATATCAGCAAATTCTTTTTCTCACCCGAGGCAATTCCCACCCAATATTCTACTTCAATTCTTTGTTTCTTCTTAAGTGCCCCCGCATTTGAGAGGCGGAGGTAGTCGGAAGCAGCAGACTTAGAGTGCATGCGGTATCACCCGCTGGTAAGACTGTTAGTGGCTCTGACTTTCGAAGGTCGCTTAGAAGAGCTACTCACTGCTCAGCGAGCAACTATCTCAATTTACCATCGGAACGAATGAAAAAATTACAAAAGGGCTGTCCGTCCCACTCATCTTCCTCGAATTCAACGGGCAATGGTCAAAATTCCTCCTTTGAACAACAAACGACCTTCCCGTCAGAACCAACTATGTCATATATCTGAGGAAATTTCCCATCGTAAGGACATTTCCAGCTACCAGTTGAGAAAATTACGCATTTCAAGTCACCGCCCCCTTAGTAGAGGTTTCTCCATCAGTTTTTAAAAGATCTTTTATTGCTAACTGGCGCTACAATGCGAATAGTTCTTGAAGCAGTCGTAACGGCATTGAAATTTTGATTTGACAAAAACGGATTAAGGAATAAGCACTCATAATGCCAGACTGTGTCTGACTGCATCACTGAATATGTCGCATCAAAATAAAACACGCTTACACAGGTAGCTAAAACCTAAAAAAGTTAAAACCACTTCTGTACTTGTTTCCCGTGACACGCAGAGGCACTCAACAAGTAGTCCAAGTAGCAGCAGATACCAGCAACTTCCACTGACAAATCGGCTGATGGCTCCAGTTTTTCTACAGTCAATTCAACTTTTCGATAAATGCCCCCTTGCAGGACCAATCTCAACGATAAGAGCAGGATTTTCCACAGCAATTTCGGTATCGTATCAAATACGTACTTTCGACGGCAAAGAAGATATGGAAAATTACTGTTAAAAATTGGGAAGACAAATACAGCGCTACCCAGATTTCGTGGCCTGGCTGCAAGTGATGCTTTGCCTACCAAATCTTACGAAAACTTAGATGATTAATCGCATACCTAGTTTCCCCTGCACTCTTCGTAATTTCCAGCTTGTGCAAGGCTGTCAGCATTCTGTTGACGAAATGATTCGCTAGGCGCCAGATATATATGCAGCCACTGTATGAGACAACGTACAGGCGCCTAAAAAGAACTGGAAGAAATCAACAGGACAAGTATATCACATTGCCCAGCGTTAAAATGCAATGGATTTGCTGAAGAAGGAAAAAACTAAGTAAGGTTATCACTGCTGGTCCCAGAGGAAACAGAAAAAACATGGTCACTTCTCGATTTTTTTAACCAGTACCACAAATGTGGCCGCCCTACCACGCGTAGCCATGCGATGTCTCCTACGATTTTAAATTACAAAAATTTTTTTCCATACCCAGCACTGCCTTCTCTTAAAGATAGAAATGTGGCCTTATCAAATGAGTAAATTATTTCTTTTTGCATTATCCGGATATCTGTGCATGCGGTGTAATTCAGCCATCAGCATTCCAAGCAGATGGCTTCGCTCCGCATCTTTTCCTCATCACATAAAACAGTCAGACCTCAGTTAAATGTGCGGCGTGCGGGATGTCATTATCAACATGTGAGAAAGTAAAATCCGTTAGACGCAACATCCTGTTCACCACTCGTCAGCGAATGACAGTCGCAAGGAGAGAGAAAAGTATCATTAAGAAGGCTCAAGAAAAAAAGTGCGTATGCATGGAGCAGACGCTAGTTACAAATCAGCAGATTAGGATCAAAAAATTCTGAGAGAGCTGCGTCCAGTGATATGGAAGCAGCTCAGAAATGTTATTAACAAGGGCTAATCACATCGACTGCTCTTTCTGCTTGTGTGCTTTTTTTTTCCCACGGTACCTCAAGAAAGACTGGAAGAGCGGAAAAGCAACCTGCAGTCTGATGAGAATGCCACATCTGTAACATTTTCAAACGATCCCTTCAATGTTACGACACACTCTCCGCTTCTTAAATCGATTACGTATACTGTTCGGTTACTGCACACCGTGGCAGCATACGTGCCACTTGGGTCCAGGCAGACCTGAAACAGTTATTCCGAACAGCTCATGTTTAGCCGTCAGTAACTAGAATGACAGCGGAACGGAATGTGGCGGTTTCCAAACCTTTTCAAAACATGCAACAGTGAAACCCGTTAGAGGATGCTGCGAACAGTAAATGATGTTTTAGAGTGCAGCATCGAAGGCTCTATGCTTGTGGGTAGTGAACATGAAACTTCATTTTAAGAACCTCACAGAAAAAAATATATGCTCATCGGACCCGAATACATTCCGTCCTCTTCCCGTTTCACATGAACAAGAAAACAATTCTTCAAATACAGTACGCAGTTGTTACTGGAAAACGCAAACCTTAGTTAACTGTCCGTCGCCGCTTGCCGCGCCCTTAATCTGCTTTATCAGTTTCCCTTTTGTTGAATACAATCGCAGCTGTCGATCCTGACACGCCACTAGTAAATCTCCATCTGGACAGATTACTGCGCTATTTAGGCCAAATTGCGCGGCCACAAAAAAGCACCGCGCGAAAGTCACAGATAATGGCTAAAAATAATGCAATTTTTTGAATTATGCTCAGCAAAAACACACTTTCACAGTAGTTAGTAAATTGTTATACTGAATCAATGCCCGTGTTAGTTGCAAGGCACTGAACGGGAAACAGCTTTTCAGTGTCAAAGGATGTCATGTTGTCACTAGATAAGCTTCATTCAGCAAACCTCACAGCCATTTTTGTTGTTATTTTGTAAACTTTTTCGAACAACTAAAATTTTAAAAAAAAAAAGAAATCCTCCTACAAGTTCTCTGCATTTTGTGAGGAAGATTTCCCGAGAAGTCGTTTACCAGT